TCCTCCGCCTCAGAGGAAAGTAATGGTTCAATTTTGGCACATTACACAGCTTGTGTGTGCTGGAGAAATGACGAAAACAAGCACTTAAGCGCATTAAAGCCCTTTGTTCCTCTTCTCATTCTTTCCATTTCCTCTGAAAACCACTAGTGCAGCCGTCCTGGAAAAGCAAGAGAGGGAACGCAGCCCCAAGCCCATTTTCTTGGTCTTCCTCCAGCCCACATCTCCTGAAACCTTCCCTAAGCGTCGTCTTCCCTCGACACTATCCGGTGCTAAACTCCAAGTACAGACGAGGCTGCGTCGAGCTTAAACACAACGCGAGGACGCGGGTGAGGAGGTTTTCCCAAGCCAGAGCAGGCAGCCAGCCCCTTCCCCACCCCGACCCCTTTTGATGTGTTAGCCCTGCCTGCAGAGCACTGCCCAGGGTTTAGTTTTTCCCTAAATCCAAACTTTTCAGAGCAAATCATGGGGAGATGTAGATCTGAAGAGCAGGACCCCAACATCTGAGTCTGGAGGGTAAGACTAGATTCCAGGAGAAGACCTGCGTGCTCCTACGTGGTGGCCAGCACTGGTCATCGCTGGAAGCAGGACAAGTGACTGGGGCCTGACCCTGTCTGGGAACCAGTACGGGAGGAAGAGTAAAACCTTGAGGAGAGCAGCTGATAATGGGAACGACTTTAAGCTGATTCCCCCCTTCCTCCCTGGCCTCTGTGCGTGGTCAAAAAGAGGAAACCCAGGAAAAAATACTTCCCTTTGTTCCCTTTTTTCTGTGAAATCCATAATGGGACCAGAGAAAAATGCTGGAAAGTATGCAGGGAAAGACGGGGGAGCAGAGCTTATCAAATGTTTATCACGACATATTTCAGAATAAGAGCCGGTGCTGGGGTCAGCCTCAAAGCCGGGGAGCATCGTCACTAGCAAGGCACCGCGTGAGAGCATCCGTGGGAGATCCCCCAAGGAGCGATGACAGTTTTGGTGGTGTCAGTGAATGGCAGCGGGGCAGGGGTGCTGGCAGCAC